TCAGGCCAGCGGTCCCTCTAGTCCAGCATCCTGTCTCACAGAGTAGCCAGCCAGTTCCTCTGGAGGTCCTACAACAGGGCAGAGAGGCCGAGGCCTTCATAAGAGCATCAGAAGAGCCCTGCTGGATCAGGCCAGCGGTCCCTCTAGTCCAGCATCCTGTCTCACAGAGTAGCCAGCCAGTTCCTCTGGAGGTCCTACAACAGGGCAGAGAGGCCGAGGCCTTCATAAGAGCATCAGAAGAGCCCTGCTGGATCAGGCCAGCGGTCCCTCTAGTCCAGCATCCTGTCTCACACAGTGGCCAACCCGTTCCTCTGGAGGGCCCACAACAGGGCACAGAGGCCGAGGCATTTCCCTGATACTGCCTCCTGGTTCTGGGATTCAGAGATTTCCTTTAGTCACCATGGCTAGTAGCCACTGATAGATCCCTCCTCCATGAATCTCTGTAGCAACGTTTGAAAGCTGTATGTGCCTGTGACCAGTGTTCCCTCTAAGCTGAGTTGGTGTGAGCCAGCTCACAGGTTTTTAATAACCTCCAGTTCACAGATTTTTGTCTTCACCCAGGGAGGATGGCCCCGGGGCAAACTAATTTATGCAGTAGCTGCTCGCTCACAACTTTAATGGCAGTAGCTCAAAAAGTGGGATTTTTGCTCACAAGACTCCACAGCTTAGAGGGAGCATTGTGACCAGTGTTCCCTCTAAGCTGAGTTGGTGTGAGCCAGCTCACAGGTTTTTAATAACCTCCAGTTCACAGATTTTTGTCTTCACCCAGGGAGGATGGCCCCGGGGCAAACTAATTTATGCAGTAGCTGCTCGCTCACAACTTTAATGGCAGTAGCTCAAAAAGTGGGATTTTTGCTCACAAGACTCCACAGCTTAGAGGGAGCATTGTGACCAGTGTTCCCTCTAAGCTGAGTTAGTGTGAGCTAGCTCACAGTTTTTTAGCCTCTGGCTCGCACATTTTTGTCTTATCTCACAGAGGATGGCTCCAGAGCAAACTAATCTATGCAGTAGCCAAATCGCTTAGAGGGAGCGTTGTGACATATTCATATATTTAGAACAAATTACTTTTCTAGCGGGTAGGGGAAGCTGGTAAGTTTTCATCCCGGCCTTCCTTCAGGTAGCTCAGGACGGGGCGTATGTCATTCTCACCTCCTGCATTTTATCTTCTCAACAATCCCGTGAGGTCGCGTCGGGCTCAGCGAGGGTCACCGGCCCCAGGTCAGTCAGCAAGCTTCCACGGGTAAAGCAGGATTTGAAGCCGGTTCTCTTCCATCCCAGGTCCTAGTTTGGTGCCAGTTTGGTGTAGTGGTGCCAGTTTGGTGTCGTGGTTAAGTGCACGGACTCTGATCTGGGAGAACCGGGTTCGATTCCCCACTCCTCCACTTGCACCTGGCTGGATGACCTTGGGCAAGCCGTAGTTCTGATAAGAGCTGTTCTTGAAAAAGAGCAGTTTCTCTCAGAGCTCTCTCAGCCCCACCTGCTTCACAGGGTGTCTGTTGTGGGGAGGGGAAGGGAGAGGAGTTTGTAAGCCACTCTGAGACACCTTTGGGTAGTGAAGGGCGGGGTATAAATCCAATCTCTTCTTCTAGTCTGACCCCTCCTCACCCCATCGGCGTCGGCACAAAGCGTGCGGGAGAGCGCAGCCCTGGCCCTGTCCTCTTGGAAGGGGACTCCGTGATTCCCAGCGCCGAGTTCGGAGCGCCTCGCTTGGCCAACTCGGCTCGCTGCTACCAGCTGAGGACCGCTGTGTCCCTAGAAAGCCTGCCTGGTTATGCAAGCACGGTCTGCCGCTCGGTCCCCCCCCCCCCCCCCCCCCCGCCTCTCTGTAGCTAGCAAGGCCTCTTGTTTCTGCCTCCCCGCGCATGGAACGCCTCTGCTGCTTCGTCGGACCTTTCCCTCTCCGAGGTCCCTCCGCCCAAATCGTAACTCACAACATCAACGGAATCCGAGTTCACAGATGGGGAAGCGCCGGCCAGGAGAGGAGAGGAACTCTCCGCTCGGCGTTAATCCTACCTGATACTTTATCTCCCTGATCTCGCGGCTGTGGGTCGCTTTGTTTTTTCTTGAATTGGTTGTGGGGGGGGGGGGGGGAGAAGGGCTCGGCGTCCCCCAGCAGGTTGGGATTAACCGGCTCTAATCGCCTGATCCTGTTAGGGGCATCCGTCTGCCTGATATGTGATTAACGGCAGCCATATTTCTGCTTTGCTGGAGAATGGAGTCAGGAGAGAGGCCGGGGTTTCTGTGAATCTGTCCAGGCCACCACAAGAGGGGAGAGGCCGTGGCTCAGTGGTAGAACAGGCGCTTGGCACGCAGAAGGTCCGAAGTTCAATCCCCGGCCTCTGCAGTTAAAAGGAACAGGTAGCAGTTGATGGGAAAGACCTCTGCCTGAGACCCTGGAGAGCCGCTGCCAGTCTGAGTAGACAATACTGACCTTGTTGGACCAATCATGATTTAGCAGCAGCTTTTAGGGAAGGGCCATGGCTCAGTGGTAGAGCATCTGCTTGGCATGCCGGGAGATCCCTGGTCTTAAAAATGCCACTGGACTGTTTTGGATTGCTAGCTATTGGGGGGGACGGGACGTGCAGATCTGTCCTTGCAGAGGAGGGAGAGCTTGTACCTGAATAAAACCTGGTCTTAAAGGTGCCACTGGACTGTTTTGGATTGCTAGCTATGGGGTGGGGGGATGCGCAGATCTGCCCTCACAGAGGAGGGAGAGCTTGTACCTGAAGGTGCACCGAAGGGGGGGGCTCTGCTTCTTGCTCCTTGTGGCCCAACTGAGGGCTGCTGGGAGCAGGGGGCAGGGCTTGTTGCATGTGCCCGCCTCCTGGGCTCCTTACTGCCAGAGCTCTGCTCCTGTGCGCTCCCGCAGGAAATGACCTGCTAATTTGTCCGTTACACAGAATTCCTGAATTTTTAAAAACCAATCAGATATGGTGGGACTTTTATCATCATTCCATCGAAAGAGGCAATATATAACTGATCTCCCCGCAGCCAGCGTCATGCCGTGCTTTAGGGTATGGGAGGGTGGCTTAAAATCCCAGGAGACGGCGGGTCACGCCAAAGCGTCCGGTTCTCGAGCCCTGGAGTCCTGGTGCTGCCGTTCCACTCCCAGGCGCACAAAACGCCAAACCTAATGCGAAAGTAATTAATGTGCCTTTTGCAACCCGCTCATTAAGTGCCGCTTCAACTTCTAATTAAGTTAATTGTGATCCGCGGCACCCACTCGGCCCCGTCTTCTCCCTTCCCCGATCTTCCAGATTCAGAAAGCCACAGAGGGGTTTGTAAGGCGGGTTCCCAGAACTGCCCTCTTTGGAGTGCCGGCCCTTAGAAAGGGAAGAGGCAACGTTCGGGCTTCTCTGGCCCGGAGATGCAAAAATCCCATCTTTACATGGCAAAAGAAAATCACACCGTGCATGCTCAGGGGCACTGGGTACCAAGGCAGAAACCGGGCCATTGCCTTTTGTAACATCGGAGGCCGTTGTCTCTGACTTAAGATTTTGAAGAAGAGAAGAGATTGGATTTATACCTTGTCCTTCACTACCCGAAGGAGTCTCAGAGCGGCTTACAAACTCCTTTCCCTTCCCCACAACAGACACCCTGTGAGGCAGGTGGGGGCTGAGAGAGCTCCCTTGAGAACTGCCCTTGAGAGAACAGCTCTAAGAGAACTTGTGACTGCCTCAAGGTCACACCAGCAGCTGCATGTGGAGGAGTGGGGAATCAAACCCGGTTCTCCCAGATTAGAGTCCGCGCTCTTAACCACTATACCAAAATCTATAAGAGCAGCAGTACCACCTTTTTTAATTTCACTTCCTTCGTGCCCTGCCTTTCTCCCCAATGGGAACACATCCTTCTCCTCCTCTCATAAGAACATAAGAGATGCCAATGTTGGATCAAGCCAAAGGCCCATCCAGTCCAACACTCTGTGTCACACAGTGGCCAGAAATACCAGGGGCTATCAGGAGGTCCACCAGTGGGGCCAGGACATTAGAAGCCCTCCCACTGTTGACCCCCCCCCAGCACCAAGATGACAGAGCATCACTTGCCCCAGAGTCCCTATCTATACCTTGTGGCTAATAGCCACTGATGGACCTCTGCTCCATATGCTTATCTAATTCCCTTTTGAAGCCATCCATGCTTGTAGCACCCACCACTTCCTGTGGCAGTGAATTCCAAGTGTTAATCACTCTTTGGGTGAAGAAGGACTTCCTTTTATCTGCTGTCACCCGACCGCTCAGCAATTTCACGGAGTGCCCACGAGTTCTTGTATTGTGAGAAAGGGAGAAAAGTACCTCTTTCTCTACCTGCTCTTTTCCATGCATAGTCTTATAAACCTCAATCATGTCACCCCTCAGTCGTCGTTTCTCCAAGCTAAAGAGACCTAAGCGCCTTAACCTTTCCTCATAGGGAAAGTGTTCCAACCCTTTTATCCTTCGAGTTGCCCTTTTCTGCACTTTTTCCAAAGCTATAATATCCTTTTTAAGGTGTGGTGACCAGAATTGCACACAGTATTCCAAATGAGGTCGCACCATGGATTTATACAGGGGCATTATGATATTGGCTGATCTGTTTTCAATACCATTTTATCCTTTCCATTTTATCCTCACAACAACCCAGTGAGGCAGGTGAGGCTGAGAGTATGTGACTGGCCGCAGGTCACCCACTGAGCTTCCAGGGCACAAGTGGGGATTCGAATCTGGTTCTCTCAGACCCTACACCGCGCTGGCTACATTGGAATAGGATAAAGGACTGTTCGGTGGCTTGGAAATTCAGGGCAGTGGGGGGATTCGAACCTGGTTCTCCCAGAGCCTAGTCCGACACGCGGACTAACACTGGGTCTCACAAGGCAGTGCTGGTCTTAGCAAAGGTGGACCCCAAATTTGATGCCGGCGCGGTTTCTGTGGGTCGTATCCAAAAGGCACGGTTCGATCTTTTGATGTGTTTTTATTTTGCCCTTCTTCCAAAGGACTCAGTGTATGTCTCCTCTTGTTCTGTCCCTGCAGCAACCCCGTGTAGGTAGGGCAGGGGAAGAGAGGCTGATTGGCCCAAGATCGCCCGTGGAACTTCCTGGCAGGCTAGGGACTTGTACTTGGTTCTCATAAGAACACAAGAAAACGTGAAGCCACCCAGTCCAACACTGTGTCACACAGTGGCCCAAACCCCAGGTGCCCTCAGGAGGTCCGCCAGTGGGGCCGAAACTCCAGAAGACCTCCCAATGTTGCCCCCCCCCCAAGCACCAGGAATACAGAGCATCACTGCCCCAGATATAAGAACATAAGAGAAGCCATGTTGGATCAGGCCAATGGCCCATCCAGTGTCACACAGTGGACCAAGATGTGATTCGCCATTGCCTGCCTCTCAGTATGAGGCAACTTCATGTGTGCTTGGGGAGTGGCCATGGCTTAATTGGTGGAGCATCTGCCTGGCATGCAGGAGGTCCCAGGTTCAGTCCCCGGCATCTCCAGCTAAAAGGACCAGGCAAGAGGTGATGGGAAAGACCTCGACCTGAGACCCCGGAGAGCTGTAAAGAGGGGCTGTGGCTCAGTGGAAGAGCCTCTGCCTGGCATGCAGAAGGTCCCAGGTTCAGTCCCCGGCATCTCCAGCTAAAAGGACCAGGCAAGAGGTGATGGGATGGGAAAGACCTCGACCTGAGACCCTGGAGAGCTGTAAAGAGGGGCTGTGGCTCAGTGGAAGAGCCTCTGCCTGGCATGCAGAAGGTCCCAGGTTCAGTCCCCGGCATCTCCAGCTAAAAGGACCAGGCAGGAGGTGATGGGATGGGAAAGACCTCGACCTGAGACCCTGGAGAGCTGTAAAGAGGGGCTGTGGCTCAGTGGAAGAGCCTCTGCTTGTCATGCAGAAGGTCCCAGGTTCAGTCCCCGGCATCTCCAGGTAAAAAGGACCAGGCAGAAGGTAATGGGAGAGACCTCAGCCTGAGACCCTGGAGAGCTGTTTATTTTAAATTTATTTAACAATTTTTATTTAGGATGTCATCACTCAAAATCAACATTTATAATACATTTTTCATCCTACCCTCCTCCCTTTCCCGCCCCCCTACATGGCTTCCCACAGTGCTACAACCTGCAAAATTCTTAAATTCGTTCTTCCTTCCCTTTATCATTACAAGTTCAATAGGTAACTAATCTCTTCATATATAAATTTCTCTATTTCTTATTCCATTTTGTTAAAGTTTAACGTTCAGTAGTTATTAAAGCAAAATAAGTTGTCTCTCACATCCCAATTCTTCTCCAAATAGTCTTTTAAATCTTTCCAATCTGCTACAAAGTCTTCTGCTTCCACATTGTTAAGTTTTCTTATCATCTTGTCCATTTCAACCATAAAAAGTAGTTTTTTAATCCAATCTCCAATCTCCGGGACTTTATCTTGCTTCCAACTTTGAGCGTATGTCATTCTGGCAGTTGTGATCATATACCACATTAGAGTCCTTTTTGTCACATTGACCTCTTCCATTTTTAGTCCCAAAAGTAATATTTCTGGTTCTTTCTTAAATTTACATTTCACAATTTTTTTCCATTTCTGCATGAATCTCACCCCAATTTTTTTTTGCTTTTTCACAAGTCCACCACATATGATAAAACGAGCCCTCAACCTTTTTGCACTTCCAACATTTGCTAGACATATTAGTATTCATATTAGCAATCTTTTTTGGTGTCATATACCATCTATACATAATCTTATAACAATTTTCTTTTAAGTTATTACATGTTGATATTTTCAGTGCATTTTTCCATAAATATTCCCAAGATGATATCATTATTTCTCCTGGAGAGCTGTTAAGAGGGGCTGTGGCTCAGTGGAAGAGTCTCTGCCTGGCATGCAGAAGGTCCCAGGTTCAGTCCCCGGCATCTCCAGTTCAAAAGACCAGGCAGGAGGTGATGGGAAAGACCTTGACCTGAGCCCCTGGAGAGCTGTAAAGAGGGGCTGTGGCTCAGTGGAAGAGCCTCTGCCTGGCATGCAGAAGGTCCCAGGTTCAGTCCCCGGCATCTCCAGCTAAAAGGACCAGGTCGGAGGTGATGGGAAAGACCTCAGCCTGAGACCCTGGAGAGCCACTGCCAGTCTGAGTAGACAATACTGACCTTGATAGACCAGTGGTCTGCCTCCGTGAAAAGTGTTTATATGTATCTTTTTCCCTCTGTCTGTGGGAAACGGAGCTTTGGGTTGTGGGCATAACCTGACACCGTGTCTCTTTGCAGGCTGTGGGAACAGTGCCTTGAGTTACGACCTCTACCAGCTGGGCTATACAGACATCACCAGCATCGACTACTCCGCAGCCTGCATTGCAAGCATGCAAGATTACTACGCCCACTGCCCCGGACTCCAGTGGGTAGTGATGGACGCCCAGGCCTTGGTGTTCCGGGACGGAAGCTTTGACGTCGTCTTGGAGAAGGGCACTCTGGATTCCTTGATGGTGGGAGAAACAGATCCTTGGCACGTGTCTCGGGAGGCCAGGGGGCGCCTGGAACAGGTTTTGGCGGAGGTGAGTGGCGAGACGTCTGCCGAGGTTTAGCTTGGAGGAGGCAACCGTGGCTCCGTGTGGCTACTTGGACCTCTGGTGCAGGGGTGTCAAACTCATTTCTTATGAGGGCCAGATCTGACATAAACGAGACCTTGTTGGGCCGGGCCATGTGTGTCATAAAATGTAATGCCAGGCAATGTTCCCTCTAAGCTGTGGAGTCTTGTGAGTGAAAACTGTACTTTGTGAGCTAACAGCATTAAAGTTGTGAGCGAGCAATTTGGCTACTGCATAAATTAGTTTTCTCTGGAGCCATCTTTCCTGAGCTGACAAAAATGTGTGAGTCGGAGGCTAAAAAACGGTGAGCTAGCTCACAATAACTCAGCTTAGAGGTAACATTGATGCCAGGTGCGGAGATATAAACTTTACAGAGGACACAAACACAAAGGGTTTTTTTAAAAAACTTAAAATAAAAACACGCTTAAAACATCGGCACTCTCGCAATATTTTGCTTATTTAACCGTGTCTGATAACTGACACCTCTTGCTCTGAATTACTGCATCAAAATGTCTGTGCTGTTGCAATCTTGAGTATGCTGTTTGGGTGTGTATCTGTAAGCTGCAAACCTACAATGATGTAGCAGCAGCAGAACTGGAGAAGCAGAAGACAGCCAGTTCCACTGCGGGCCTGATAGAAGCCCTCCGGGGGCCTCATCTAGCCCCTGGGCCGCATTGTTTGACACCCCTGCTCTGGTGTTTTCCTCAATTGCATGGCTTGTGTTTTGTCATCCCCCCCCCCCTTCTTTTGGCTTAGACAGAGCTGCATTTGTTCTCTGAAAAACTGGCGCTTTTTAAAATGTGTGTTTCTAGGCTGACAGGGAGGGTTCACCATTTCCCGCCTTTGTGTTGTGATCCTGGACTTCCTTGGTGGTCTCCCATCCAAGGACTAACCAGGGCTGACATTGCTTAGGTTCCGAGATCTGAGATTGGGCTAGGCTGGGCCATCCAAGGTCGTATCTCTCTCTCCCTCTGTCTCAAACTGGATCTGGGCTGTGCCACCAGAGGCCTACTAGGCCCAGGGAGCCTGGCTAGCAGCAGGTGAGTGCACGGAACGCTGTTCCCTTCCCACCGAAGTGGTACCTATTGATCTACTAGCAATTTCTTGCTTTCATAAGAACATAAGAGACGCCAATGTTGGATCAGGCCAAAGGCCCATCCAGTCCAACACTCTGTGTCACACAGTGGCCAGAAATACCAGTGCCATCAGGAGGTCCAGCAGTGGGGCCAGGACATTAGAAGCCCTCCCACTGTTGACCCCCCCCCCAAGCACCAAGAAGACAGAGCATCACTTGCCCCAGAGCCCCTAGCTATACCTTGTGGCTAATAGCCACTGATGGACCTCTGCTCCATATGCTTATCTAATTCCCTTTTGAAGCCGTCCATGCTTGTAGCACCCACCACTTCCTGTGGCAGTGAATTCCATGTGTTAATCACTCTTTGGGTGAAGAAGTACTTCCTTTTATCCGTTCTAACCCGACCGCTCAGCAATTTCATGGAGTGCCCACGGGTTCTTGTATTGTGAGAAAGGGAGAAAAGTACCTCTTTCTTTACCTGCTCTTTCCCATGCATAATCTTATAAACCTCGATCATGTCACCCCTCAGTCGTCTTTTCTCCAAGCTAAAGAGCCCTAAGCGCTTTAACCTTTCCTCATAGGGAAAGTGTTCCAACCCTTTTATCATTCGAGTTGCCCTTTTCTGCACTTTTTCCAAAGCTATAATATCCTTTTTAAGGTGTGGTGCCCAGAACTGCACACAGTATTCCAAATGAGGTCTCACCATTGATTTATATAGGGGCATTATTATATTGGCTGATCTGTTTTCAATACCCTTCCTAATAATCCCCAGCATAGCATTGGCCTTCTTTATTGCAGTCACACACTGTCTTGACATTTTCAGTGAGTTATCTACTACAACTCCAAGATCTCTCTCTTGATCTGTCTCTGCCAGTTCAGACCCCATCAATGTGTATTTATATTTAGGATTTTTGGCTCCAATGTGCATCACCTTGCACTTGGCCACATTGAACCCCATTTGCCATGTTGACGCCCACTCGCCCATCCTTGACAGATCCCTTTGGAGTGCCTCACAATCCTCACTGGTTTTCACCACCCTGAACAACTTTGTATCATCCGCAAATTTAGCCACTTCACTGCTTACTCCCAACTCCAAATCATTAATGAACAAGTTAAAAAGCACTGGACCGAGTACTGATCCCTGCGGTACCCCACTGCTTAGTGAGCTAGGGACAGTATATATTTAGACGCATTAGGGCATTTCATTTCTTTTCTTTTCACCCACTTACTGTTATATTTCTGCACCTTGTTGGCTTGACCTCTTATACAATAAACTATTTTCATTGTTCACTCTGCCTGGTCCTCATGCCTATTATTCCACCAAAAGGGAAGTCAGAAGGTCTTTGGAGGGGGCTCTGGGCCTTTTTTAAGGGATCCAAAATCCAGAGTGGTGGCAGCGTCAAGTGACACCCCACCTGAGCCGTGACAGATTAGGAGCGCAGATTCTAATCTGGGAGAACCGCGTTTGATTCCCCACTCCTCTGCATGCTGCTGCTGGTGTGACCTTGGGTTAGTGACAAGTTCTCTCAGAGCTGTTCTCTCAAGGGCAGTCCTCGAAATAGCTCTCTCAGCCCCACCAGCCTCACAGGGTGTCCGTTGTGGGGAGGTGAAGGGAAAGGAGATTGTAAGCCACTCTGAGACTCCTTTGGGTAGTGAAGGGTGGGGTATAAATCCAATCTCCTCTTCTTCTCCTCTTCCTCCTCCTCCTCTCTGCCCCCCCCCCCCCGTGAACGAACCACAAGAGGCTCTCAACCCAAGTACCCACGGTTCAGTTCTTTGGGGGGGAAGAGAGGGAATATCCCTGATCATTCGGTGGATGACGGACAGCTCTCTGTGTCTGCTCGGAAACCCTCTTGTCTTTACTTCCAGAGTTTTACAGGCCATACGGGTTTTAGTCAGAGCGGCGCTGAATTCTGTGTCTCCTCGCAGGGGACTATCTCAGCCAGGTTGAATCCCCGTGCAATCTCAGCCAGGTTCAAATCAGTTCCCTCCATAGTCGAGGCAGGGAGTTCTTCCACAGCCCTTTTGCCAGGGCAAGGACCCCCTGCATCCATATGTTAGCAGCTGGAACAGCTGGGGAGGGATGAACAGGCGATGGAGATGTTGAAAAAGAGGAAGGGGCCCTGGCCATCAGGGTGCAGCCCCACTCCCCGCAACCTCCAGTTTGGTGTCGTGGTGAAGTGCGCGGACTCTAATCTGGGAGGACCGGGTTTGATTCCCCACTCCTGCACTTGCAGCTGCTGGATGACCTTGGGCAAGCCATAGTTCTCTCAGAGCTGTACTTGAAAGATGTTGGGTGATAGTGAGATATTGAAAAAATGGTATTTAGCAGAGATAAGATAGTCCATCAGAGCCTGAGTAAAATAATTCAGACTGAGAGTCCATGTGTGATTAAAATATAACGTTTTTACTAAATTCTAGCATGGGAAGAGTAACTGGGCTGAAAATAACAACAGAGCCTAATCGGCTACATCCTTACACTACAAAGACAAAACTAGAAGAGAGAATGGCTGCTCTCCTTCTTCAATAATAATCAAAAAGGACAAAGAAGAAAAAAGGGGGGGGGGAAACTGAACCTAAACCTAGAATTCAGAACCTAAAAAGGTTAGTCAGGAATAGAAAAGGGCCAACTCTAAAAATCTAATCATAAAATATACAAAAATATATACGTGTGTTTAATTAGGTCTATCTTATTAGCCCTTGTATGTTTTTATAGTTTTATATGAGGTATGAATGGGCCCTTGTTTGTTATTTTAATTTATGTTGAATAAACACACATATATATTTTTGTATATTTTATGATTAGATTTTTAGAGTTGGCCCTTTTCTATTCCTGACTAACCTTTTTAGGTTCTGCTCCCCTTCTTCTTCAGAACACCAAAACAAAGACGAAAGAGAGCCATAAAATGCTAAAACACTTTGACACTTTCGTCCCAATCAAACCCCTAGATCAGGGAGAAAATTCCCGGGCATTCCTACATCTAAAGAGCATTGGCTACATGAGAAACATGTGACTTCCTGTGAGTAACATAAACAAACATTTAACCCCAGATATACTGAGTGTTTTCAACTTGTAATACATTGCATTACATTACATATTAGGCTTCTATACCGCTCCTTCCCGAATACCCAACAAAAGAGCAGTTCTCTCAGAGCTCTCTCAGCCCCACCTACCTTATGGGGTGTCTGTTGTGGGGAGGGGAAGGGAAAGGAGTTTGTAAGCCGCTCTGAGACTCTGAGTGAAGGGCGGGGTATAAATCCAGCCTCTTCTCCTCTCCCTTTGGCACACAGCAAGAAAGCGCCGACTGCAAAAGGGACGCAGGGGGAGCTGGCAGAGCGTCCCCCCCCCCCCCCCGGTACCTGAACTTTCTGGGGTGGTCTACATTTTGCAGTAGTGAAATTCCTCTCCTCTCCTCCTCCCTTTCACCCCCGCCCCCCCAACAACAACAAAACCCCAATCCTGAATCTCACCCCAGTTGCCATGGCGACACCTCCCTTCCCAAAATTACCATCTGTGAAGCGCTCCTGCATCTAGGCTAATAAGATCCCCTTTGACGTGGCCCGGTTAAGGGCACAGCTCCAGGGAATGCCAGGAGGCAGGGAGCAGACCCGATCCCTGCCAACCCAGGGGAGCTCGCCTGGGAAGGACTATACCGCATGGATGCTCCCCCCCCCCTTTTGCTTCTCTAGCTCCATCCCCCCCCCCCTTCCTAGTTCCATCTTCTTAGTCGGTAGTTCCCCCCCCCTCCCCACGTACACATCCACACCCTAGATTTGACCGGCTAGTCCTCCCTGTTTCCATGGCAACGCTCATCAGTATTGACTAGGCCGACTAGGCCCAGGCGTTGCCATAGGGACAGGTAATGCCTCCAGGCAGCTATTAATTGGTGTG